GAGTTTCATTCTATCATGGAATCTGATTGGCCAAAGAGAAACAAAAGTCATTACGTCACAGAAATTGTTTCCTGGCTCGGGTTCGCAGACATTATTTTTGGGGGAGACAAGTGACAGCCGGAAATACGGCTGCGTTTGCAGTTTCACCGACAAAGCTTCCGTATATAGTCTTCAGAATCTCTCTTTCTGCTATTCAATATTTATGTGTAAACTTATTTTACTTTCCGAAGTTCTTTCTGCGTATTCCCTCGTTAGCGCAGATTACTCATCATAGTCTCAAAATTTGCCTAGTTTTCTTGTAAATAGGCTCCAGACCTATAGCAACGTGAAATTAGGAACAATTGCACAATAAAATGATTTTAGGTGATTTTTGTTTAAAAGAAACACCACATTCTGGGGTTGCTCTTTGATTGCCATTGTCAGAATTTTCATTTGTGTAGGCTGGCAGCAGCATTTTACAACCAAATTACTTTATTTTACAACCAAACAAACAGTTTCTCCTTTGCTTTCGTTCCACGTGAATAGAGCGAGTGAGCAAAACGTTATTCATACAACGACAAGGGGAGACAACTCGCAATCAAGCTATAGAAACGTGATGGTCCACAGTCTAAGGTCAAAGTCCACAAGATATTATCCCAGCCACTTGATATTTGAGAAATAGTATTTTGCTTTGATGTTTCAGTGCCTACGACAGAATTTTTTTTTATTTTCTTGTTAGATTCTACATCAGCTTCTGATGTGAAAAGCGAAAAAATTTTTCCCGTAGCGATTTTCCTTCACTGCATTTTAGCTGTTTGAAAACATGAAATTTTACTTCCCATTGGGTCAAAAACTGTGTTAAGAGGGAAACTGGAAATAGCTGGTTTGTTAAGTGTCACCGGGAACACATTGACAATCAAACGAAAGAGAAGTGAGAGATTCTAGGGACAATACTCGTCAACAACCGGGAAACCCCAGTCTATTTCTTCCCCAAAGCTCATTAAGTGTAAATGATAAGATGTCAAGCTACCAGGCATCTGTAAAATTAAAATAAATAGTTTTTAACCTAGTCATAGATTTTAATAATTGCATCTTTTAATTAGGTTTTTATTCTTTTTAATCATATGCAATTGTAAGCCCATTGAGAATTCTAAATGCACAATAAGAACCTTTTTATTATTATTATTATATTAATTTGACTTTAATCAAGAGAGCAGCGATTCTGACTTAGCGGAGACGGCGGAGGTGATTGTCGAGTATGATCCTGAAAGTGCGATTCTCAAGGAATCACACACATTCAACTTCGGAACCAGAAGGTCCTTCTTACATGGATAAGCCATTGGCAGACGACAATTGAATCGCCCAATACAGCAGAGAAGTACAAGAGGCTTACTTTTCTTGCCATGAAAACAAATGTTGTCGAAAACGTGACTGAATGAGAATGACGCAATCTGGACACCATGTACTGCGAGTTACCATGAGACAGCAAGTGGATATATCTGTCATCTCAACCTTGGTTACCGACCTAAACCATACCTGATCACAGGGTAAATCAAACTTTTACCTTGGTTAACTTCCTATTGTCTTGAGCAGCATTACCAATTTTCCATGAAATAAACCCATTACAACGCTTTTCATTGCGTACATGTTGATACTGCTGATGACTGTAGATCATCTAAAAAAGCTATGCAGTCAATAATAAATTTGGTCCAGCTCCAGGTACATAGTGGCAGGGGTAAACTTACTTGTCAAGTTTTGTGTGAATGAAAACAGCTTCTCATTGGCAGCAGAAGCATATTGAAGATTACTTTGACAGTGTTGGTCTGTATTTTGTTAAAAAGAATGGTACATGCTTGCCATGAATTAGCACGGGTTAATGAAGTTTGGATGCTAAATTTAGGTCTGAGAAAGGTGAAACAAGCAACCACAGCACCGCAAATAACTTTATTTCACCGAACACTGTAGCATGAAAAACACAAACATCACACACCAAAGGGTTTGAGATCACCGCAACACCCCAAGTTGGGATTTTATCCACTGCATCACCGCTTTAAAAACAAAAGAACAAGCTTAAATTTTGGCCTGTGGGCAATTCTAAAGCTCCTATTCAATATGCGTTCATGAAAATCTTCTAACTTGCCCAAAGCACAGGAGACCTGAATACTGTATCAGTAATCTAGCAGTCCGGGTTCGAGCCCTGACCAGGGACATGGTTTTGTGTTCATAGGCCAGACACCTTTACTCTCACAGTGCCTCTCTCCACCCCATGTATAAATGGGTACTGGCGACCTATAGTGCTGGGGGATAACCCTGTGATGGACCAGCATCCCATCCAGGGGGGAGTAGAAATACTCCTAGTCACTTCATGCTACAGAAACCAGGATAAGCTCTGGATGATGGGCCCCTTGGCTTGTATGCAGACTTTACCTACCTACCCTGTGTTCCTGGTCTGTTTGAGCTGTTTAGACCAGATTTGACTAGAAGCAAAGGTGGTTTACATCATTTTCAAATATCAGCTTGTCTGCCACTTTGAAATGTGACGATCTGATTATCTTTATCTTCTTTAACTATTAACTCTCATTGGGTGAGAGATTCTCAGGTTTCATAAATCCTCAAACCTTGAACATGACTTATGACTATGTGTGATTATGTAATAATGTTGTATAATCCCACAAAGACGTTGAAACGCTAGTTCTAAAACACACCTGCAAATCAGGACTTTGAGACTGAAAAAATCGAGACTGACTGACAGAGACAACTTTGTGAGAAAATCAAGACTGTGCGATGCGCTTAATTGCTAGAAAAACAAGACTGTGAGACCCCTGAAATTCGACAAATATTTTGCCAGACCCATGGTTTTTGAAGTACCACTCACCACCCCTATATAAATTTCCAGATATAGCTGTGTAAACTCTATAAACAACAAGGCAAGATAATAATTGAGTCAAGTTTACAGTGGGAGATCCCAAGACACTGCACACAGTCACACAGTCTTGCTCATGGTAAGTACAAACCTTTTCGGGAAAATCTTTTTTGAGTTCAGTAACGGAACGACACCAGTATGCTGCTGTCTTTTCACTAATGAGTTCTATATTAAGGAAAGCTCCTTGACCAGGGCCAAACAAGTGACCTGATGTTGTTCCACGAACAATACGGGGAGACACATTTGTTACAATGTCCTATAAATAATAACAAAAAGTAAATAATATAATTCAGCAGGAAGTGTGGTTGGAGTCAGTCCCTTAGATTAACACTGATCTGGGTTAACTCGAAAGTTAATTCTTAAGAAGTGCTCTCAAGTCAAAATAACCACACGCAGTTGATAGTTGCACAGGATATGTTTTTGAGACTATAGCTAATTGGGAAAGAAATATAATTTACATTCCATAGTACTAAATGTATGTAAAAGTTAATATGAAATGTTTGCCGCTGAAAGTCACTGGGGAACTATCATGAATTAACTATACTAATACAAATACAAAAATAAATACAAATTCAAATAATTATAAATACAGATACAAACACAAATACACATGTAGATGCAGATGCAGAGGCAAAGGCAAGTACAGATACAGATGCAGATACATTGTAGATACTGATACAGATGAAAATACAAAAAATTAATACAGATAAAGCTTCTGATGCTAACTGCCCTTTCGAGCCTAAATTAACATATTGACTGTTATTTTCACTACCTGAAAATGGAGTAAGAAGTTTTTGCAACATCGTAGTTTCCTGTCACTTCTTTTTGTAATCAAATACTGTCACTTGCATCTAAGCATGAACACGTGATGCCAAAACATGCTCTAATTGGGTTTCAAACGTGGCATGATTGGTCATGAAACATTTGATGTTTAGCAGACTGTAATGCGAACTTTCGCGCTCAAAATGTTCACCATCTTGATTCGACCAGTGATTGTTTCCAACTCATTCTTCTTCTCCATGACTTTGAATTCTTCTGTTTTTGTTTTAAGTTCATCTTCCTTGCTCTTGATGTAGCCTTTTAACTGGGGACAACATATCGAGTTTGCGAACCTTACTGACACCGCTAGATGAGCTAGATGACACCACTAGATGGGCTAGATGCAGTTTTGTCAACTTGATTCCTCAAGCTTTCAAATGGTTTTATTGTGCTTGTGCTCTTGTTGGGATTACCAGCACAGGGAGCTGAGATGTCTCTTGTGGAATGGAAACTCATCTTTCTCGCACTTTCATCGATTTTCTTTGACATAAAAAGAAGAGCGATGCTCTGCAGTTTTGACTTCAGGTGTACAGAGTTGTGTGATCATGTTTAAAATCAGTCATCAATGTCCTTGGAGGATATATACTGAAAGACCCTGAAAGTCTTGCTTCCACCAGTATTCCATGGTTGTACTAGAAGTAAAACCACTTTCATGAAAGGCGTATGCATATTGACACAGGTCAGGGTCAATTTCTCTGAAAAAGTCTTCAATGTCCAATCTTTCTGCCATTTTGTATGCTGAACTTTCAGTGTGAAAGTTCACCCCATGGTCTGCGAAACTTCAAATGTTTGATGACCAATCATGCCACGTTTGACACCCACTTAGAGCATGTTTCGGAGTCACATGTTCAAGCTTAGATGCAAGCGACAGTAGTTCATTCAATGATGTGAAATTTAAATTCTAAATATAAACAAGTCAAGTAAACAGTTTATGTTTTTCAAAATCTTTAACCAAACAATATCAGGGAACAGAAAAAGAAACTCTGTTGTAAAACCAGAAATTAATTGGCCAATCATCTGCAGGATGAAAGCAAGAAATCATCACTTGATCAGAAATGTCATAATTATGCATCTGAGGCATCTGTCAAATTTTGCTTACAAAATTAAGAAGACAGCATTCTTCATTGTCAAGCAGTTTTTTTTCCCTTGGTTATAAACAACTTAGAATCACTGCCTCGAATGTTTATCAAATATACTCTACTATACATTGTATTTTCAACTCTCCTCCTGGCATTTGGAAATGTGGTCAAACAGGGTCTTTCAGGTACGACATGTTACGACTAACCAGTAGAGAGAAACTTTGTATACCTTGTTCAGTGAAAATGTTTTGGTTACAGCAAAACCCCAGCCGGCTTCAAATCCCCGTCTGATCATAGCAGCACTAGTTGTGGGAGGTGCACTCGCTAAACCAAATAGATTGTCAAACTTTAATCCGCAGATGTCTACACTCAGGTCTACCTCATCTATATGTGTGTAGAACTTTGGAAGGTTTGGCTCCTTTGCCACTGGCAGACCATGAAGTGTCTAAAACAATTTCAGAATGCTACTATTAGTTTTTTTTATTAATTGTGTAACTTGAAACCAATGTACATGTAGACAGGCTTGATGGCAAGGAAGCTATGACATAAATAGCAATAACATTTAAAGAGCATGGGAAAAAATAGGTGCTCAATGCGCACATGTGTAGCTTACTGGTTATTTTTGAAATTACTATTAAGTTATGCTCCATTAATTTTGAACAGTAGAGTTGTGGGGTTTATTATGTAGAAATGTGTGATCGTAGGGCCAAACAGGAATAGAGCTGTACAGCCAGAGAGGTTTTATTTTTTTACTTGGCAATTTATTTATTTATTTAAAGTAACAAACCTTTAACAAGTCACACATATCACCAATTGTGGTAGGCACAGTGGCCCCATGGTTAGTGTGCTCGAATCCGGAGCGAGTGGTCCGGGTTCAAGCCCTGGCCGGGAACATTGTGTTGTGTTCTTGGGCAAGACACTTTACTCTCATGGTGCTTTTCTCCACCCAGGTGTATAAATGGGTACCGGCAAATTTAATGCTGGGGGGTAACCCTACGATGGACTAGCATCCCATCCAGGGGGGAGTAGAAATACTCCTAGTCGCTTCGTATTTTCAATTGCATCGCAAGCTCGAGCTAAGCCAGGTTATCTTATTGGTATCATGATCTGCACTATAGTTTTGCTTATGGTATCGTCGTCTCACTTTGTGTGTGATTGGCTGAAAACTTGCCATAACAATGCAGCACTGAAATGAGTTCCTCAAGTACGCTTCAAATTTTGTGACCTGTTCAGAACTTCACAATAACGAGTCGCTGCTAATCTTTACTTATTGCCATTTGCACAGTTCAGACAACTTTTACGGCACACTACATCATCTCTAGGAGCTATTTCATGTAAAAGGAAACTTTACGTAGGAGATGAAGACAGGTAACTGTTTTCATCACTTAAAGTCGGTTTATGAGTTACTGCACAAACTAGCTAACACAAAACCATTTTAAACTTGGAGATTGTGTAAGCAATCTATAGGGTTTTAGTTGATGGTGCAGATTATGCAAATGATATGCAGATGATGTCCTTTCATCATCTGAAAAGGTTTTCAAGTAATTCTGCAGACCAGAAGATAAAGCTCCTGAAATCACTGAATCAGTCAATAATGCAAGCACATGTATCATTTTACATTTCTAGTTCAAGTTATTATGAGACTGCGATTGTTGCAGTAAAAATAGAAACTTGTTTTGTTTGCTTTCCAAGTGTAATTCATTTGACATTTCTATACAATTCTAATCTTAAATTAACAGTTGACTGCAAATAAGACCAAATGTTGGCTTTTGTAATATACATTGAGAACGTTTTCGACGTTATATTAGTGGCAGTGCATTTGTGATCTTTGTGAGTTCAGTGCTAGGCCTGACACTTGTGATCAATTTCATTTGTAATACATCTGGGGAAAGTTTTTGGTCTTATATTGTATTGCATGGTTTAGTGACTGCATTTGTGACCCAGGCGGTGTTGGACACAGTGCACGTGACAGTATTCGACCAATCATATGTCATCTCAGCCAGAGCAATGGCGGACACATTTTTCATTGTGAATGGAGAGTACGTTGTTGTTTCTCGACCGATTTCTGCACTCATCATGAGAATCAAACGAACTTTTTCTAGGAGCTGCTAGTGTAATATCTAGACCAGTTATTAGCCAAGCCTCAAGTGCAGGTAAGCAATTTTTGCATCAGAACTAGTCAGTGGAAATCATGCTATGTTGAAAACGTTTGTTTACCACATGTGCTTGACATGGATATTCTTTTGGTCATTTGCAGGGTAACAGGGATCAGAATTGTGAATTTTTTTGCATGAAACTTTAGTTCTAGAGTTGAACGTTAGGAAAGGTCCGGCAGGCCCAGGCAGGCCCCGCTGTTTTAACGGTCAAAATCGGACTTGAAGTTGGGGCATTTTCCTTGATCTGTCAGATGTTCACGGTATTTCACAGGAGTGATCGTGTGATTTCTACCCTTGAGACGGCAATACCACAATGTATTGGCAGTTAGTTGAGAGATAATATATATTCTCATATTGGGGGGAGTCACGAACTGTCTCAAAATCTCATTTAGTTCATAATTATAATCAGGAGCTCTGCTTCTAGGCTTAGCTAAATCTACATATTATGCCCAATTTCCATCTGCAGGCCACAAACCTGTAAATACTTGTGAAGATGCCAGGAGGCTTGCTTGCCATCGTTTACACTCTCCACTGTAGTGTTAGCTACTCCAGCAATATCTCCCCCACAAAACACTCCTGGCTCACTACTGCTCATTGTGATTGGATCCACTTCAGGAAGACCCCACCTGTTAAACTTAACTGGTGCCATAGCCTTGATGACTGCAAGAGACAAATTAGGAAATATTCTTGAAACCCATCATGGTCATCACAGTAAAACTTAGACTGCAGATCAGGGTAAAATGAAGACTGAGGATAAAACACAAATTGCAGACTAGGGGTAAAATGAAAACTGCAGATTTTTAAACTGAAGAAAGTCACAGTTTCCATTAATGAGAGCTACAGTATACTGTACATGTAGCTGTGGCTAACCAGAGCGTTATTCAGGCTGACCTGCATGGCATTCATGGTAACTGGAGTGATATTCAGGCTAACTGGTGTGCTGTTCAAGGTTAAGCAGGGTGCTTGGATAAGTTTAGCACTCGATAGTGGAAATAACAATAATTATATTAAGCTTCAAACTCTCTTTTTTAGCACCAGTTTAACACTGGCAAACTACCAAAGATCTTTGATTCGTTTTTTGTCGAAACATCTTGTAAACATAATGTAAATACTCACTTTGTATCTAGATCTACTTTCTTTCTTCCAAAAATTCTAACAAATTATGGCAAATTTAATATTCGATTTAATGGACCTAAATTATGGAATGAACTCGATGGAAAGATTCAAGTGTTGTACTTCTAATCAATTTAAAAAAGAACTAACTTCACATTTCATTAGTCTCTATTAATCTTTACTGATATTTTGATGATTTATATATATATTTTTTGTTTTGTTTTGTATATTTACTCTTGTACGAAGTTTATGATATTTATGTGTACCAATGTATTTGTTGTGACTCTTTAATTTCCTGACTCTCACATTTTTAATTATTACAATTACGGTCAATTTAAGAGCAATCTACTTTTTTATGGCGATGAAGAGCCGCATGCTAATCACTTTTAAAGATAAGAGCTTTGTTGATCATCTTGAAATTTTGGTTTGTCTTTTAGCCGCTATGATACGGCTTACTTTTGAGTTACTCAATGATCATTTCAATCCACTTGGGAATGATGACTCAATTGTTTAAAAAAAAATTCTTTTCTAGGTAGAGGTAGGATTTTTGTTTTGTTTTCTTCACTTCTCTTAATTTCCTCAAGTGATGCCAGCAGCAAACAGACTAGTTGTGGAATAGATTGTTAACTAAGCACTGTGATTGGATGTCTCAAGGTTATTCCTCAGAATTGCATTGCGCATCCCTACTGCGCACGATTTTCATGCTTGCAAGCGCGTGCACACACAAAATGGTGGCTTTTTCCAAACGGCTTGGATTGCGAGAGACAAATGATCGTTTTTTTCTCGGAAACGAGTACGGGGACCTAACGATTTTTTTACTTAGTTTGAATGCAGCGATCACCTTCCTTCTATACAGTGAATATAGACCAATTCTGTTGCAGAGTAACAAATTAGAGAAAATGAGAGCATAGCAAGCACTCGTAAACAATAAGATGTGCCCTCAAGAACACTGTGTGCTTGGAACATATTGAATCCCTGTCAACTAAATATAGGTGCCTTTCTCATGAAACATACATCAAATTGCTCCTTAACATTGATGCAGTACATCCATTGTTGTATTTCTCACTTAACTTTCTCCCTATTTTTCTGCTCTCACAAAGTGTAAAGTGAGTGGTTTAAATGTAAACGCTTCTAAAAGCAGCTAATTTAAGGAATTATGGGGTTTATTGAGGGTCTCCCTGCTCCTAAATGGGTACCAGGACCCCCCTTTTTATTTCAAAATTTAAGTTCTCTTGATGTAGAAAACCAACAGGCAAAATTTGAATGCAAATCTATTGTGCGTTCTTTTTCGCGGGAATGACCTCTAAGTCACTTGGGGTAAAGCACATTCCATCCCACGACAGAAGAGTTCGCTTCAGAGTGTGTTAGATGTTTTTGAAAGTGCAAAGGACTCAGTTACCATGGAAAGAGCTGCTTTGTTCAAGAAAAAGAATTACGGTAAACTAATTTCTGACACTTTCATCGCGAATGTGAGTAATCACAAGAGGATTTGTGGACATCTTGTGCAAGTTTTTTTCAAGACCATGACTAAGACTACTATGTTTAAGCCAACTAATGTCCGAAGTCTGTGTACATGGAACAATTTTTAGCAAAGTGCGAAACTTGAGCAGTTTATGAAGATAAACCATTTCATGACATTCGCTTTGAGGTGAAGTTGTAGCCAAGCCAAAAGAATTCGAGGTAAAGTACGTGACAACCCAAGGATAAACTTCAATTCTGCTGTGTTTCTAGTTTCAGTAATGACAAATTTCCTCTCATTAAATGTAGCTAAATGTGAAGTGAAGGTGCAAGTGTCTCATACTGTAAAGCTTTTCTGAACTGTACATGACAGTAATATCTGTCAATACATCTGGTTGTTTTTGACATAGTGGAGTTGTATTTCATTGTGTTTGTTTTGTCTGCTAGAGACTATTTCTCTCAACTGGATCTGCATGTTGACATTTTAATATCTTGGCAAGATTGCCAAGAATGCTTCCAGTTTCTCAGCAAGATTTTTTGGCCTCCAAGATTTTAATATCTCGATGAGAAATCTCTGTGAGTATCTCAGCGAGATTTCAAGATCTTGCCAAGATCTTACTTGACATCTCGCCAACATTTTCAGTGAGTTTTTGGCCACTGAGCGGCAATCTCGCTGGCCAAAAACTCACTGAGATTCTCGACCAGATCTCGGTCAAAATTTTGCAGGGGTTTGTACAAGAAAGTGTTGCGGTTGTTTTCGTTTTCACTTTTGCATTAAATCTGCTTCATACAGTTTAAATTTATGACATTCTTGTCTGTTAGTTACACACCAACAAATTTGACATAAAATTAACCTTTTAAAGAACATTTCACCATCGATATTTTCTATGTCAACCAGCGATCTGTAAGTTTGTGACGAGAGGTATTGCTAATTGTATTCGGAAAATTTTGCTGGTCGGGTATAGTACTGTATTTCTGTCTATTCTACAGCAAACTTTTTGTCTTAGCAAACTGTTGGTAAGCTGTCAGCCGACAGGTTACCAACAAACACGTTCAGGAGCTATTCTTCACAATTACCCACGTATTTATACTTACATTTACTTTAGAAAGTCTGTAATCTGCAGTTTGCATTTCACCCACAGTCTCCATTTTACCACTCCAGTCTGCAGTCTGCAGCCCGCAGTTTGCATTTTACACTGACCATTGTTGAAACATATTTTGGTCAAACATTGCATGCTTCCCCTCAAACACAGTAATGCATAATGGGATAATTCATTAAGGTATCAGTAAGGGGAAAATTTGCAATTTTGCATAATTTTACTTTTTTAAGTGGTTAGATAAATCTTAAAGTAATCTTTAAGATAAAAAAAACTCCACGAAAAAATCTTATATCTGCCGGTGGTTATTGCGCGAGAAAGATTGTTTTGCATATTAATTACTTAATTGAGAGTTGACAAGTTCTGTCAAATGAATTAATTATCGAGGCAAGAAGCCACATGCCATCAAGATCATGCTGAGTTGACACGCGATTTGCTCGCCATAATCAGTGCTGGATGTCTTCGAAGAACACAGAGCGATCTTGCCCGTTTTCATCGGCTAAAGGAAGGCCAAAGAAGGCGAAAAACACTTTCAACAAAGAGTGGGCCGCTAAATTAGCGGAAAGCGGC